CTTGCCTGAGCCCGCGGGTTTGAGACCCGCCTGGGCAACTTGGCGAGACCTCATCTCTACAATAAATCAAAAAACTAGCCGGGCGTGGTAGCGCGCGCCTGTAATTCCGGCTACTTGGACGGCTGAGGCGGAAGGATCACCGGAGCCCAGCCGGTCAAGGCTGCGGTGGCCGGGAGCGGCCACTGCACTCCCTTCTGGGCGACAGAGTGAGACTCCAACTCAAAAAAAAAAAAAAAAAATTATTTAAATGTGTAATTTTTTTTTCCAGATAGAGAAAGAGTTTTATTACATTGCCAAGGATGGTCTCAAACTCCTAGGCTCAAGCAATCCTCCCACCTTGGTCTCCCAAAGTCTTAAGATTACAGGGATGAGCCACCATACCTGACTTTTTTTCAATATTTATGACTTTCTTAAGAGAGAAAAATTACTTAAAATACAACTTAAAGGCAAACTGGTGCCAATCTTTATTTGCTACAACTAACATAAATTCAGAACTCAAAGTCTAAGGGAAAGTACAGAAAGATTTTCCTGAATTACCTGTGAAAGAGTAAGAAATGTATTCATACCTGCAAAACCACAACAATGGGAGAACTGGCTTAGCCTGTGAGCAAAGTAAGGCCCTGCTGGGCTGAGAGGCAGTGAGAATAGACATTGGCTAAGCCAGAATGTTTTAGGCTAGACTCAGAGTGAGAACACATTACAAGATTATTCTCAAGATGTTACCATGGATTTCTCAACTTTTTTTTTTGAGTTGGAGTCTCACTGTCACCCACCAGGCTGGAGTGCAGTAGCATGCTCATGGCCACTGCAGCCTTCACCTGCTGGATTCAGGTGATCCTTCCGCCTCAGCCTTCCATGTAGCTGTAACTATAGGCACACACCACCATGCTCAACTAATTTTTCAATTTATTGCAGAGACGAGGTCTCACCAAGTTGCCCAGGCTGGTCTCAAACCCCTGGACTCAACAATTCTCTCGCTTCCACCTCCTAAAGTGTTGGGATTACAGGCATGAACCAGGCGGATTTCTCAACTTCTAAGACTAGTTTATATAAATAGTAAAACATGAAATCAAAATCTGAAAAATGAGGCCCGAACACTGGGCCTAAAATAGTCAAATTCCAGGAACACCTCCTTGTGAGTTCTTATATGAAGGATATATATAGCCCAGATCACCACCACCACCCCTGCCAGTTACTAGCTATCCTGGAGAGAAATGCTTCTCTTACTGGGAAGGGTTCTCACTGTGGGCCTCAAAGACTAACCTAAAATAGAGGGCCACAATAGAAAGCACACTTCCAACCTGGGGATGAAGTTATGACTTCTTTAGAAAAACACCAGAATTCTAGCTCCATTTATACCTGCCCACTGAAAACAGCAAATTCTCAAGACAGTAGGAAGCAGGCCCCTTCCCATCCAAAGATGGGCAGAAAGAAACTCCACAAGCAGGTTCATCAAAGAATGACAAGTGTTCAGTTTGAGAAAGATTTCTGCTGTTAGTTCATTGGCTTTGGTCTCTAAACGATTAACATAGCTTTAAACAGGAGATAGGGAGCTTAAATAGGAGGTTTAAGGAGGGAGCGTTAGCTAAGGATCTCTGAGCTCTTCCAGGGTGCTTTTAACTTCTCTAAAGCATACAATGAATCATGAAAAGGAGTGCAGTGCTGACCAGAGCCCAACCACTGACCAGGAAGAACTAAAACGAAGTCCACTCCAAGGGGTAGTATTGTTTTGTACTCTATCAAGTTTACTTGGGCCAAGGTCTATGGAAGTTTACAAAAAGCTATGAGCGCTCTGACAACAGAAACACACAGACAATCACTGACTAAGAATGCTATTGCTAGGACCTTGTACTTGTTATAAAACAGGTCAAGAAGCCAGGCTCAGTGGCTCAGCCTGTAATCCCGTGCCTTTGGGAGGCTGAGGTGAGTGGATTGCCTGAGCCCGCGGGTTCGAGACCCGCCTGGGCAGCGAGACCTCATCTCTACAATAAATCAAAAATTAGCAGGGCATGGTAGCGCTTGCCTGTAATTCCGGCTACTCGGTATGCTGAGGCGGAAGGATCACCGGAGCCCAGCAGGTAGAGGCTGCGGTGGCCAGGAGCGGCCTCTGCACTCCAGTCTGGGCGACAGAGTGAGACTCCAACTCAAAAAAAAAAACAGGTCAAGATTTCATATCTTTTTACCAACTAATAGCAAGCTTGTTATGATCTCTGACAGAAATACAATAAGGCTTCTTTCTGATTCTAAATTGTCTGTTGATGTGTTTTGTCATTTAAAAAAGCCTATAAACCGGCTGAGTGGCTCAGCCTGTAATCCCACGCTTTGGGAGGCCGAGGTGAATGAATTGTCTGAACCTGCGGGTTCGAGACCCGCCTTGGCAACTTGGCAAGACCTCATCTCTACAATAAATCAAAAAAATTAGCCAGGCACGGTAGCGAGCGCCTGTAGTTCCAGCTACTTGGAAGGCTGAGGCGGAAGGATAGCCAGAGCCCAGCAGGTTGAGGCTGCGATAGCTGAGAGCGGCCACTGCACTCGTCTGGGCGACAGAGTGAGACTCAACTAAAAAAAAACCAAAAAACAAAAAAACCTATATAAGTTGATGTAGCAAAAGGTTTTTGAACTTCTAGGATTTCTATTTTAGAATGCAATGAGTTCTCTGCTGCTGAAATAACCACTTCAAGAGCTAAATCTACACTTTATGACAAATATAGGAACCTGGAACCACCCTGCATCTGCAACATTTTTGTATGACAAAATCAAATTTTCTTCAGTATGCTACAAGTTGCAGTTTTTGTAACAATCCACCCTCTATATTAAATCTGAGCTCCCCAGTACCAGCTTCTCTTCTTTCTTTTGAAGAAAACTGCACAATTCTCAGTAGTGAGGGGGAAAAAAGAATTCCATGATTAAAATCTGCAGATTTTAAGATGACAAATTTTCACTTTATGCTTCAAGTTCCAACTCAAATTATCTCCCAATTACAAAGGCATCAACCAGTATGAGGAAATGTATCCGAATTTAGCCAAGTTATAATAAATAAAGGACCATACTCAGAGCAGAGTAAGATAGGGATAGGGAAACTGGGAGAAGGACAAAAGAGTACCAAGCCCCAGGCATGGTGGTTCACACCTGTAATCCCAGCACTTTGGGAGGTAGAGACAAGAAGACTGCCTGAGCCCACGGGTTCAAGACCAGCCTAGGCAATTTGGTGAGACCTCGTCTCTATAATAAATCAAAAAATTAGCCAGGTGTGGTAGTGTGTGCCTGTAGTTCCAGCTACTTGGAAAGTTGAGGTGGAAGGATCACCTAAGCGCAGCAGGTTGAGGCTACAGTGGCTGTGAGCATGCCACTGCACTCCAGCCTGGGCAACAGAGTGAGACTCAAAAAAAAAAGAAGAAGAAGAAGAAGCAAGAGAAAGCCATGAATTAAAGTAGCACAAGACATCACAGCACAGAAAAACTAAGTGATTAAGCAAGAAAACACCATCCACATGACGCATCATACCTTCTCTTTGCAAAGGAAAAGACCAAAAAGGTATAGGAAGAAACAACAAACATCAATCAGACTAGGCTCAAAACTAATAATCCTTGTCCTCAGGAAAATAAGCAGAATTACATATACATACATAACCAGGTCAACTTGCCATGTCACATCTTGCCCTGAACCTTGGAAAGAAGAATGTGAGGGAGACAACTGGTAGAAGAATGAACAAATCTTTGGAAATCTAATTTCAAAGCAGGTTTAAAAGACTTACCGTAGGACCTGTATTTGGAGGTGATGATTCCTCTGTGCACACAGACAGAACAGAGAGGGAAGGCATCTGGGAGGATGTTAGGGTTGGCATCTCTGTGCCACTGTCCAAGTTCAAAGCTGAGAGCCCAAGAGTATGATGCCCATTGAGCTCACTGGCATTGCTTTGGGTGGAAGGCTTTAGGGAATTCTGGAACGTGCCATTGCGGAGGCAGGATGTGCTATGGAAAGTGCTCGCCAGCTTGGCTGTCTTCTGATTGCTGTCATCAGAGTCAAGTTTGGGGAAGGATAGGGATTTGATATTGCTTACTGCAGGGATAGGGGGGAGGGACACTTTGGAAGACAGTGACATCTTTTCACAGTTGCCCAACTGTGGTAAGGTTATAAAGCCATTGGGTTTATGAAGAGGCTTGAAATCTAGGGTTGCCCGCTCCAAGGATGCCAGGACCTCCTCATCCTGTAACACAGACCCAGAGCCTCCCCTGGGCAAGTTACTGTCCAATAACTGAGCCATAATGGGTCCAGTGGTTCCTACCAGAATGTTTCTCAACTCTTCCTTCTCATCAATAGTTTTTAACTCCAGATTATCAAATGGGTCCTCTTCACACTCAAAGTCAGCAGGATTGAAATCTGCCTTTGTGTGGGGTGGGCTGAGAACTTTCTGTTTCGTGGCACTGCTGCTGACTCGAGTCGGGGTAAGAATGCTGTTGTGCTGTAAGCTGGCAAGGATGGGGTTAATAGGAGGTGGCATTGTGGCTGTACTGTGAGTCTTAGAGAAGCTCACTTTGCTATCGCCCTCTGGACCACTCTTAGACTTCGCTTTAGCCTCTGCTTCCTCGGTCTTGCGCTCAGCTTCCCTCTGGGCTTCTTGGATTTTCTTAATATCTTCGGCCCACTCAATGGTTTTCTTTTCCAACGAGAAGTCATACTGCAAAGATACAGCAGAGAAAGGAGGTGTGAACCCAGGTGGCCATCCACACCCCACCCAATTCACTTCTTTCTCGCTCCTGTACAAGAGGAGAACCGGGCAAGGCAGCATTCAAAGCATGTGGAATGAACTCCACTGTGGAAGAGTGAGTGAGGCTTCCAATGTCCCTGTAAGATTTAACCAAATTATATTCCCAGATTACCTCTGGAAATTAACAAGCAAAAGCTACCACCACCTCTAATCCTACACACTAGGCCAAATGTACCTTGCTGCTTCCCTTGCTTCTCTCCTCTGAGGCCATTTTTCTTTTTGAATTCAGGGGAGGCTCGGGCAGAGCTCAGTTACCTCCTCGGTGAAGCTTTCCTGATGGCACATTCCTTCTTCTGAACTCCTACAGCATTTGTCTCCATCAGTCATTTGACGCCAAGTACATGTGACCACATGCAGCTTGACTCAATCTCAAACTCCTCCCAACAACATCACAAGCCTCTTGTGGGCAGCAACATGGTTATCTACCCTCTTTGGGTCTCTGTTATCTAGCAGTATCCTAAACAGATCCCATGCTTGGTAATGAAAGCCCCTAACATTTAAGAAACACAAAGTGCCATGTGTGATTCTAAGCACTTTTTACATATTGACTCTCTAGGTTTTCTCAACAACCCTTTAAGGTAACTACTGTTATCCCTACTTTACAGGGGCTACACCCAAAGTCTAAAGCTGGTAAGTGGTGGAACCTGGATTTGAATACAGATTTATGCTCTCAAACCACTATTAGATTATAATGAACAGGTTGTTCTCAAAATGCAGGAAAACTTTTTATTAAGGAATCTATACATATTCAGATTAAGATTTTACAGAGCAAATGCACAAGGATTCACTTCGCAGTTCCTTAAGAATACCTTAAAGTATAGCTCAATTTACAAAAATTTCATTTGCACACTTAAGAGAAATACACCAATTACGTAAAGCAAAATTCACACAAGGCAGGAGAAAACAAAAGCTTTGGCTTTCACTCTAAAGCACCAAAATTAAACAATGTCTATGTGCATGTCCAAGACTGGCGACACATTAAAGATAAAAAAGAGGGAGAGAAACATCAGTGGCTCAGTAGAACTCAAGTCACCCCCACCATGAAAGAGGTCTTACATGCTAAGACAAGCATTTCGGAATAGAATAAATATGAAAAGCTTCTGGTCATCCCCAAGCTTTTCAGCTTCAAATGACACAAGAAAAGTCTAAAAATGCACATGTCAAAAAGCTAATTTAAATCCCTGAGCCAGTTGCTGTGCCCCAGAAAGACACATGGGGATCACTGTGCTACCTTTCTGCCACTAACATAAAAACACAACAATGGGCAAAGACTCAGCTGCTCCTAACTGTGGAAGAAACCCAACTGGTTTCCTCTAATAAAAACCAAGGCTGTAACCAACTTCTACTGGTTATAATAAATACAGCTCTCCGAAGTTTCACTCAATTGGAAATGTCTTTCCTTTTCTAGCAATCTTTATTGAGCTTTTATTTTTTAATTACCAAAGTAATGTAGAATATTTGGAACACAGAGAAAATAAGGGGAGGAGGTAGAGCAGAAATATTTAAAGTTAAAAAAAAAAAAATGCAGTTTGAGAGTATAAGAATACATATCATCTAGCATTTATGGAGTACCAGGAACCAGATTAAGCATTAAAAATACATTATTTTACTTAATCCGTAAAAGATAATTAGATGGGCTCGGTGGCTCAGCCTGTAATCCCGCACCTTTCCCAAAGGCTGAGGTGAGTGGATTGCCTGAGTCCGCAGGTTCGAGACCCACCTGGGCAGCAAGACCTCATCTCAACAATAAATCAAAAAATCAGCCGGGTGTGGTAGCGCATGCCTGTAATTCCAGCTACTCGGAAGGCTGAGGCGGAAGGATCGCCGGAGCCCAGCAGGTCGAGGCTGCGGTGACCGGGAACGGTCACTGCACTCCAGTCTGGGCGACAGAGTGAGACTCCAACTCAAAAAAAAAAAAAAAAAAAAAAACAGATAATTATCTTCACTTTACAGATGAAGAAATGGAGGCTTGGAGAGTTTAAGTATTCTATCCAAGATTACATAGTTATTACATGGCAATTCCAGTCCATGTATGAGTGACACTAAAGGATGTTCTAAACCATGACACTACAGGATACCCCACACTACCTGTAGCCACTACAGTCACATTCAGCAGAACGTGGATCCTAGATAACAAGGACTATGTATGTTTTACTGGGTCACTTGAAAGGAATTTTAGCAGAAAAATTGAGCTTGCATTGTCAGGCAAGAACAAATATGACAAAGTTATTAGAAGTTTCGAGCCACCTGTCTAGGGTTCTAGATCTGAATGTTCTCTGAATAAGGATGGGACCAGCACGAATACCACAACCTAATTTTTCAGGCAAAGTTTAAGGATGCTTTGTGCAATTAGCATAACAAAAATATTTCAACCAGCCCAACAGAAAGGGAGCTCTTAGCCTTGATCTCCTTTTTTGTTATTAGCTGATACTAGGAGCACAGTGCTCCAGACAGATCAAATAGAAAATTCCCAGCAAAGCTTACATCCACAACAATCTGGGATTCAAAACAAGTTTTCTGAATGCATAAATAAAGAAGGGAATAATATAAAAAACAAGATAGAGGTTTTTAAAAATCATATTGCTAATAGTCTCATACACAGAGAGATATTTAATGACTATTTGTCATTGCCAATAAAAAAAATTCTCAGACAAATAGAACAGAAAATGTTTATAAAGTAAACCTACCTCTCTTCCAGCCCAATGAAGTCTCCATACACAAAAGGAATATCAATTCAGTACTCAAAAATGCGTAAGGTACTCAATATCATTAGGCATTAGGTAAATGCAAACCAAAACCATAATCAGAGACAACTTCACACCCACAAGGAAGTATATAATCAAAAAATAATAACAAGAGTTAGCAGGATGTGGAGAAGATTGTAAAATGGCACAGAAACTTGAGCAAATAGTCCAGTAGTTCCTCAAAATGTTAAAGATCCAGTTAATGTATGACCAGCAATTTCATTCTCATGCATTATACCCAAGAAAACTGAAAACAAATGTCCACACAAAAATCTGTACAAGGATATTCACAGCAGCATTTTTCATAATAGCCAAAAAAGTGGAAACCAGCAAAATGTTCATCAACAAATGAATGGATAAACAAAACATAGTAGACTCATACAATGGAATACCATTTGGCCCATAAAATGAGTGAAATTCTAACACTTCATTCAAACTGTGGAAAATAAGAACGGTGATTTATTTTCAAATTGGAGCCTAGTTTATCTTGGGTTCTCAAGATGGTGTCTAAATGCTTTGTGCTTCTCTTTTGCTGATTCACTCCCTGCTTCTTTGTGCTTCCTTTTCGCAGGCTTTTTACTTTTGCGGGCTTCATGTTTAAACTTTTGGGGGATCCAATCAGAATGGTAATTCTGTAAGCCAATTGGTAACTCGGACATACAAATGAAATGATTCTGTAAGCCAATCAAAATGTCATGTAGGCATCATATGGGAAAGCCCATAACTTCTGCAGTACTCAGCCAATGAGGAGCCAGGAGAAGGACCTATGTTTTAGGGATAAAAGTGCTGGTTCTTCCTGCTTCGATGTGCCTACACACCCAAGAAACACCATTCTTGCAAGAACAATATTAAAAGAGCTGCTTCACTCCACCGATCTCTGAGTCTCTGTGTTGTTCTATAACAATGAAACTGAGGAAGGGTGATTCCGTCCCCCACACATACAACATGAAAACGATATGCTAAGTGAAATAAGCAGACACAAAGGCTATATACACTTTGTAGAATATGGCCAGAACAGGTAAACCCACAGAGACAGAAAGTAGACTCATAGTTGTCAGAGGCTGTAGGGACGTGGATTTCTTTTTGGGTGATGAAAATGTTCAGGGGCAGGTGCAGTGGTTCATGCCTGTAATTCCAGCACTTTGGGAGGCTGAGGCGAGAGGATCACCTAAGCCCACTTAAGCTGGTCAGGAGTTCAAGGCCAGACTAGACAAACATGGTGAGACCCATCTCTACAAAAAAAAAAAATTTTTTTAAATCAGCCACACATGTGTTGGCATGTGCCTGTAGTCCCAGTCACTTGAAAGGCTGAGATGGAAGGATTACCTGAGTCCAAGAGGTTGAGGCTATGGTGAGCCATGATTGTGCCACTGTACTTCAGCCTGGGTGACAGTTAGACTCCAACTCAAAAATAAACAAATTTTTTTAAATGGGGATTAGTAATGATAACTCTGTGAATATACTAAAAACCACTGAACTTTATGTCTCAAAAGGGTAAATTTGATGGTATGTGAATTATATCTCAACAAAGGTGGTTTTTTTGTTTGTCTTTTTGGGTTTTTTTGAGTCAGAGTCTCTAACTCTGTCATCCAGGCCAGAGTGCAGAAACATACTCATTGCCACCGCAGCCTCGACCTGCTGGGCTCAGGTGATTCTTCAGTCTCAGCCTTCCAATAGCTGGAAGAACAGGAGCGCACCACCACACCTGGCTAATTTTTTGATTTATTGTAAAGACAAGGTCTCTCCATGTTGCTCAGGCTGGTCTGAAACTCCTGAGCTCAGGTTTCTCGGCTCTGCCTCTCAAAGTGCTAGGATTACAGGCATGAGCCACTGCGCGCTGGCTGTGTTTTGAGTTGGAATCTCACTCTGTCACCCAGGCTGACATGCAGTGGCATACTCATAGCCACCGCAGCCTCGACCTGCTGGGCTCAGACAATCCTTCTGCCTCAGCCTTCCAAGCAGCTGGAACTACAGGTGCGCGCTACCACACCTGGTTTTTTTTTTTTTTACTTATTGTAGATACGAGGTCTTGCCAAGTTGCCCAGGCTGGTCTCGAATCCCTGGACTCAGGCAATCCTCTCACCTTAGCATCCCAAAGTACTAGGATTACAGGCTTAAGCCACTGCACGCCAGATTTTTTTTTTTTTTAAGTAAGTGAAGTTTTCTTACTATTATTCACTGCATACAGACTCTGGAAGATTAAAGTATACTTTTTAGCGTAACATGTGCCTTAGTGAATCCCACAAAAACAAAACTTAATTTCTTGAAGTTGTATCTTTAAAAACTGTCTTAAGCCACAGGAAGAAGGGTTAGAATGAGGACTATACTTTTCTGCTTCTCTAGAATTCTCAGTAACCATTAGAGCACCTTTCAAAAGCAGGCATTAAGTAAATGGGTACTGCAGAGAGGAAGTAACTCAGGGTGATTTGCTGCTTTCAAGAAGTAATTCAATACTGAGTTTTAAAAATGAGAGAACTGAGAGCAAGAAGCCTTTAGGGGACATAGCATTTAAGCACAATCTAGAAGAATAAATAGATTTTAACAGACAGCTGAAAGCTGAAAGTTATGAGGCATTAACAGGTATGGTGAGAAAGAGAAGACTATTCCAGGTAAAGAGAACAACTCAAGAGAAAAGGCAGGGTTCAGGCAGGTAATATACATGATATGTCCAACAGACCAGTGACTTGGTTTGAGGGAACATAGAGGAGGTGATCTGCCATAACCTTATGTCTAAAAGTGACTCAGTAAGGACTGGTGAATCACTGAACACTTCTGAACAGTTTTAAACATGGATGTAACAATTAAAAACTTTAAGAATATTATTCTAGAAACAATGTGAAAAATAGAAAGAAAATGCTGCAAGCAGAGGCTACTCCAACAGCCCCTGTGAAAAATGAGATAGGGCTAAAATGCCTTGTCAGACACAGCAAAGGAAGAATATCTAACTTGAGTGACTGAAAAGTTATGAGGCATTAACAGAGAAAGAAAAAGAGGTAATTAAGCAAGTTAGACGGGCTAGGGAGATTTGTTCTGGACAAAGCACAGAGCTCTAGGAATATACAATGATTCAGTGTGTGTGTGTGTGTGTGTGTGTGTGTGTGTGTGTGTGTGTGTGTGTCTGGACAAAGCACAGAGCTCTAGGAATATACAATGATTCAGTGTGTGTGTGTGTGTGTGTGTGTGTGTGTGTGTGTGTGTGTGTGTGTGTGTGTCTGGACAAAGCACAGAGCTCTAGGAATATACAATGATTCAGTGTGTGTGTGTGTGTGTGTGTGTGTGTGTCTGGACAAAGCACAGAGCTCTAGGAATATACAATGATTCAGTGTGTGTGTGTGTGTGTGTGTGTGTGTGTGTGTGTCTGGACAAAGCACAGAGCTCTAGGAATATACAATGATTCAATCTGTGTGTGTGTGTGTGTGTGTGTGTGTGTGTGTGTGTGTGTAACAATGTAAGCCAGGCATGCATCTCTTAACAACAAGGATATGTTCTAAGAAATGCACATTAGGCGATTTTGTCATTGTATGAACATTACAGAGTGGACTTAATACAACCTGAATGGTGTAGTCTACTACACACCTAGGCTACATGGCACAGTCTATTGCTTCTACAATACAAACCTGTATAGCAAGTGACAGTACTGAATGTGCCAGTACTGCTGATGGTTGTAATACAATGGAAGTGTTCATGTTCTAAACATAGAAAAGGTACGGCAAAATACAGTATAAACGATAAAAACAATACACCTATTTAGGGCACTTACCACAAATGGAGCTTACAGGACCAGAAGTTGCTCTGGGTGAGTCAGTGAGTGGTGAGTGAATGTGAAGGCCTAGGACACCACTGTACACTATTGTAGTCTTTATGAATACTGTATACTCGGGCTACACTACATTTATAAAAAACAAATTGTCTCTCTCCAACAATGAATTAACCTTAGCTTACTGTAATTTTTTAGTCTATAAACTTTTAAAAAAAACTTTTTGACTCTTCTGTAATAACACTTAATTTGAAACACAAATACATTATACAGCTGCACAAAAATATTTTTTCTTTATAAACTTATCTATAAGCTTTTTTCTATTTTAAAATTTTTTAAATTTTTTAAACTTCTTAAACTTTTTTCTTAAATGAAGACATGAACCCACGTATTAGCCTAGGCCTACATAGGGTCAAGATCATCAATATCACTATCTTCTACCTCCACATCTCGTCCCACTGGAAGGTTATCATGGGCAACAACACGCATAAAGCCATCATCTCCCATGATAACAATGTCTTCTGGAACACCTCCTGAAGAACCCACCTGAGGCTATTTTACAGTTAACTATTTTTTAAAAAATAAAAGTATACTCTAAAATAATGATTAAAAAGTATAACATAGTAATACATAAACCAGTACCACAGTCACTTATTATCATTATCAAATATTACATACTATGTACTATACTGAACTGTATGTGCTATACTTTTATAAGACTGACAGTACAGTAGGTTTGTTTACAACAGCATCACTACAAACACATGAGTAATATGTACCAAGCTACAATGAACCCTATGTTACTCGTGACAGAAATTTTTCAGCGCCATTATAATCTGGAACCACCATCATATAAGTGGTCCATCACTGACTAAAACGTCATTATTTGGCTCATGACTGTGGGTTTTTCTGTTTCACTATACATCAAATTCTTACTCTTTAAATTTTTAAATGCACTAAACTTTAACTAAAAATTACCACTTACCTGTACTTCTCTGACAACCTGCAAACAATCAGGCAAGGAGAAGCCAATAGGTAGACCAACTTTAGCTGGTGTTTTGAATTTGTCTCCTATCTTAAATGGGACATCATCAAGGTAACTGAAAGTCCCTATAATCAAAAATAAAGTAGAAAATATCAGCAAAGAACTTTATTATTTGTTTTGCCATAATCTTATGTCTAGTGGCTACACATTAATTTTTGCTATCCTAAGACTAGAAGTTACAAAGAGCTCCTTCTCTTTGACTGCTTACCTTCTGCTAAGCCTAGATCTCTGAGAAGAAAATCCCACTGATGCAATCCACTTGGTCTTGTTAGGGTTAATCTTCAGTCACTTAGTGTAAAAGTCAAAGTACTCACAGTGGCCTAAAAGGTCTTCCCATCTCCCATGACATCAGCTCTCATGTCCTAGCAGTAGTCTCCTGGCTCACTGCCCAAGTCATGAATAGTATTCTCAACAGTAACAGGCTCAATCCACCTCAAAAATTCTGCACTGGCTTGTTCCTTCTAACTGGAATACTCTTCCCTCAGATGTTCACATGATTCACTCCTCCACTTCCTTCAAGTCTTTGCTCAAATGTTACCTTCTTAGTGCAGCTTACCCTGAACACCCTACACAGTACTCCCATATTACTGTCTATCTTTCCCCTTAGCATTTACCTTCTTCTATCACATTATACAATTGACTTTGGCTTTTCCATTATATTCATTATCTCTCTTGTCCAATGAAATGTAAGCTCCTTACAGGCAAGTACTTAAGTCTACCATGCTCAATGATATATTCTCAAAACCTACTGCACAGCCTGACATGTAATAGGCATTTAATAAATACTGCTGAACTGATGACAGACTCCCCACAAAAGAACCTCCTTGATTAGGATTTCGCTACTTTAGAAAAAATCATTTTCAATTAATACAAATAATTACTACAGATTTAGAACGAGAGGGAGAGAACCCTGCTTTCTAGAACAATGTGGAAATATTTAAGTAGCATACCTCTTATATGGAAAAGGACAAACCAGACAAGATCATAGAAATCCAAATAGGATTATCCAGGAATATAAGTCCTACACATCTGAACTGCTTTAATCCCCTGAAGGTGCTTTGCCTGTCATAACTAAACACTACAGAAAGACTAAGACATAACCATCAATTTACAGAGTAGAATAAAAGTAGAATGCCTCTTGTATACGACTCTAGCTACACACTAAAATTAGGCCATGGTTTCTTTTCTATTCTTACTGACTTACTGGCAGAACCATCATGGACAATAAAACATAGTTCAAATAAATTTTGCTTTGGTGATACGAACAGCTAGTAAAATAAGGCATACTTCTCAGCCTCACACTAGTGAATTTGCTTGGGTGTCCATGGACACAGAATAAGACAATTACACCTCTTCCATGAAGACAACTTCTTTGCATACAAGAACTGTGCAGATCTCAAAACTGACCAAGGTCGGAATACCACTCACAATCCTGTCATCATTCCTGTCACCCATTTCCTGAGGTAGGCATTCTTCTGATATACCTGAAACTCTCCATCAGGAAGAAGGCCTCTACTCTCACCCTTGGGGTAAAGGGCCTTTCTTTCCCATCTACTGCCAGAATTAAAACACTTGAAATGTCTCCCACTCAGCTAGCAAACTAAATTCACAATTGTGTTCAATTTAATAATTTAATACTCTAGGAAATAACCAAAATTATTAACACTCTAGGAAAGTTTCCAAGTATGGTCATACTTGGGCTTTCTTCTAGCTGGCAATGCCTATCACATTCCTACCCTTATTGATTTTAGCAATTATTTGTAGTCCTTTAAGAATAAACTCAAGAACAACTCCCTTTCTCGATTTCAAAACACCCAGTTCATACCACCACCTCAGGACTTACCACTACATGTATTGTTAATAGTCTATTTCCTTGACCTCCCCTTAGAGACTTTGAGCAAGGATTTGAGTGTTCCTTCACAGGGAGAAATGTTTCACATCTATATCACCTCAAATTTAGCATAATATCTGGCCAATGAGATTTGTTCAATGAACAAAGAACAAATAAAGAAGATATGGTTTTACACTCGTTTTGTATTCACTCTAACTCTAATCCCACTTATCAGAGTAATCATACAAGATACAAGCACATATCTGAGATATGAATAAAGTCACAAAAATATACCAGGTGATCCACTCCCCCACCCCAAAAAAAGTACCAGGTACCATCACAGCTTACCAACACATCTAAGTGTTGATTACAACATTTAAATCCTCCGGCACTTATTAAATGCTGTACATTAAAAAGACCAAAAGCAATGCTCTCCTAATTTTAAAGAATTTTCATCTGTTTTCTATAATAGGTGCTCAAATGTTACTGAAAAATTCTAACTTTGGCTTGTGCCCTAATTGACTAGAAACAAAGCTGGAACTTTAGCACTGGCTAAGAAGCACTGGAAAGACTTACAGTCAAGCTACCAAATGCTAAATCCTTTTCGTTAATAAGAATATATTATATACAAATACATATATGATAAGCAAAACTATCTACATTAATATTAACTAAATTTTCTTAAATAGGTAGTTCTATTGTACATTGGTAAGAGGATTTGAGGCGGAAACTATAAAAATATACTATGCTGAAGCTATTTGAGTAAAATAAGAAAATCCTTCAAAAAAAAGTGTTTGATTTCCTTGCCTACCTTTCAGTTACGAAACTATTACAGTGTGATATACATGGACAGAATTATTTTCCTTTCTTTTTTTTTTTGAGTTGGAGTCTCACTTGGTCGCCCAGACTGGAGAGCGGTGGCCACTCCTGGTCACCGCAGCCTCGACCTGCCGGGCTCAGTGATCTTTCCACCTCAGCCTTCCAAGTAGCCAGAACTACAGGCGTGCGCTACCACGCCTGGCTGATTTTTTTTTTTTGACTTATTGTAGAGATGAGGTCTCACCAAGTTGCCCAGGCGGGTCTCGAACCCGTGGGCTCAGGCAATCCACTCACCTCAGCCTCCCAAAGGCACGGGATTACAGGCTGAGCCACTGAGCCCGGCTTCAGAATTATTTTCTATAAATGGAACTAAGTCCTGGCTTAGGGCTAGATAAGATCAGGAAGAACACCTTTAAAAAACTGCTGTTTCCCTTCATTAGCACAATTATGGATAAATGCTTTAAAAAGCAGTCTCCTAGCCAGGCACGAAGGCTCACGTTTGTAAACCCAGCATTTTGGGAGGTGGAGGTGAGAGGACTGCCTGAGTCCAGGGGTTCCAGACCAGCCAACGCAACATAGAGAGACCTCGTCTTTACAATAAATCAAAAAATTAGCTGAGTATGCTGCCACACGTCTGTAGTTCCAGCTACTTGGAAGGCTGAAGCAGAAGGATTGCCTGCAGGTTGAGGCTGCGATGGCTGTGAGTGTGCCACTGCACTCCAGCCTGGGTGACAGAGTGAGACTTTGACTCAAAAATTAAAAAAAAGTCTCTTTTAACTAACAATGCCAATACCAAGGTGATTTAGCACATCCCTAACCTGTCCATGGTCTTAGTAGTCCTTGAAAAGTTCTGTTAACAGGGAATGAACAAACAGTTCGGTGATTACTAGGAGGAGAGGATAGGGATAAAGAGCAAAAAGGTTTTAAATACAGCTTTCTGAACCATATGTATACCTAGGCCTGAACTGTACCCCACATCTTTAAAATAAAAATTAAAAAAAAAAAAATTCCTAGTTGAAAAAAAAGCCTTCTGAATAACGGATGGAGACCAGCTAAGTACTATAAATGATGATATTGTGAAGATTACAAAAAATATTTCTTCCAAATATAACCAACTATGCCTTAGAAACTATCCATTTTTATCAAGCATATAGAATATCTGTTTAACAACATCAATTCCTCATTTCTCAATATGCTTTAGTTTTTTAAAAATTCAATAAAAACTCAAACACAATGGCCCAAAGAATTTAGCACTGCAACTAACAATTTTCAGGCTCACCCTAAATACCTTTTAGTTTCAGGTCTTATTGTTGAAAATTTTTCTAAAATGTCAGAGTTCATTTTCCTAAGTTCCATTTAGAAAAAGAAAATAAGCACATCTCTTAATAACTGTGGTGGTGGTAATCCTTGAAGTCGGTTCTGCATATCACGTTGGTAGGCCGATTGTGTAATGACTCTGGATAAATTCTGGGAAGGCTTCATTTTGCTTTGTTTCTTTCTAAATTGTTGATATGCTTATGATCTTGCCTATTTTTCTAGAAAAATGTACAATTTCAAGTAAGGGGAGAAATTCCTAATAGAGAGGAGCAACTGGATTATACTAAGTTAAGGTTTTATTGTGAGGGGATTCAAAGTAAGGTTTTTAAAAAGAAGACTAGAACAGATCAAACAAAATTAAATGAAAATTGCAATTCCATGAATGACTATCACTATCTTAAAGTCAGAAGCCAGGTAACACTTGCAAAAAATTACACAAAATTATAAATACAGATATCTGTTCTAAGATGTGAAATCACAAGAAAATGTTATATACACCCTAACAATAAAACAAGTCAGATAACCTACAAAATCAGTTTTTAATATACAATGTCCTGAGTACCATATATTCTCACTCAAAAGCAAACCCTAAACATTTACCATAATACTATAAGAAAGGAATTGGCAGTAGCTGGAAACTGCCGGGGGAGGGGGAGGGCACATAACATTAATAAGGCTAACTGATCTCAATAACAGGCAAAGTGGGAACCAAAGGTAGGCTCCAAACTTCACCTGTACACTGGTCACTCGTATATCTAATCCCGAATTGTATGCCACATCTCTAAAATAAAATAAATTGTGTGTGTGTGTGTGTGTGTGTGTGTGTGTGTACACAGAGTCAGGAATTCAACTAAAAATTACAAGACACAAAAAAGCAAAAGAAAAAAATGTGAACCATCATCTGCGAGAACCAGCTGTCAGACCCAAAAGTCTTTGAGAAATAACTGTTCCCTTATAATATATGGTTATTAATAACAGTGACGTGCACAGTGGCTCACACCTATAATCCCAGCGCTTTGGGAGGTGGAGGCAAGAGGACTGCCTGAGCACGGGGGTTCAAGACCAGCCTGAGCAACTGGGTGAGACCTCGTCTCTACAAAAAAATCACAAAAAAACTAGCTGGGTGTGGTGGCATGTGTCTGCAGTTCCAGCTACTTGGAAGACTGAGGCAGAAGGATCACCTAACTCCAGCGAGTCGAGGCTGCAGTGGCCATGAGCATGCCACTGCACTCCAGCCTGGATGACAAAAGTGAGACTGTAACTCAAAAAAAAAAAAAAAAAAAAAACCTGAAGAAGTTCAACTTTAGTTGAAAAGGATGAACCTGAAGGTAAATCAAATGCTAACCATAAGTAAGCACAGCAAAATACCTCATCAGCCTCCCTCCCCCTTTTTTTAAAAATAGAGACAGGGTCTCACTCTGTCACCCAGGCTGGAATACAGTGGTGCAGCCTCACTGTAGCCTCAAACTCCTGGGCTCAAGGGATCCTCCCTCTTCAGCCTCCCAAGTAGCACACCACCACACCTAACAAATTTATTTTGTAGAGATGAGGGTCTTGCTATGTTGCCCAGATTAGTCTCCAACTCCTGGCCTCAAGCAGTCCTCCTTCCTCAGCCTTCCAAAGTGCTGGGATCACAGGCATGAGCTACCACATCCAGCCCAAAACATTTTAATATCTAGTCATGACAGAAGTTATTACCTTGTTGTCCACACCCCAAGTGCCCTAGAAAAATTACTGGTCCATTAACCCTTCAATGATGGACCAGTCAGATAATACCTAATTTGGGGGGAACCAATTCACAAGCTCATAAACTAAGCTAGGTTATGCCATCAGATATGCTTGATCAAAAGATACAAAAACTCTAGCTCTATGATGCTAGCCACTTAAACTAAAAGATGAAGTAGCAAGCAACACCATAACACCATAACTGGTGTGGCCAATTTTGGCCTGTGTATTGTACATGAGTAGGCCAAGAAAGCAAGTCTATAAACTGAAAAACAAAAATGGAACACTCACAGAAAAAGCAGTGAGGAAAGGCTGCTGTTTAATAAGAAATGGGAGCAACAGTAGCCTCGGTTTTCTGGTTTCCAATTTTAGCCTTATAAGACCAAAGTGAACCTGATGTTCAGTACTCACATGCCTTCAAGATTGCTTATTAAACATGCTCCAAGTATTCCCTTTAATTTCTATTCCTTAAACCACTTGATATCTAAAAATAGAATTCTTTACTCTAAAAACTCAACTAAGGTCACTGAAATTCAACAAGGAGCTCAAGCACATAGAGCCCTGTTAAAGGAGAAGCAACTTATGAGAGAGTGAAAATCTTTTCTTTCCTCAGGTAGAAAGTTTCATTCAAACATTTTGGTTAAGAATTTAAGGAGAAAGCCGGGCTCGGTGGCTCAGCCTATAATCCTGCGCCTTTGGGAGGCTGAGGTGAGTGGATTGCCTGAGCCCGTGGGTTCGAAACCCGCCTGGGCAGCGAGACCTCATCTCTACAATAAATCAAAAAATCAGCTGGGCGTGGGAGCGGATGCCTGTAATTCCGGCTACTCGGAAGGCTGAGACAGAAGGATCGCCGGAGCCCAGCAGGCGAGGCTGAGGTGGCTGGGAGCAGCTGCTGCACTCCAGTCTGGGCGACCGAGTGAGACTCCAACTCAAAAAAATAAATAAATAAAAGAATTTAAGGAGATGAGAGAAATTCTAAAAATACAAGTCTTTACTGATCAGATACCTTCAGAATTATAATCTTCTCTCTTGACTGTTTAGCTGAAACGTATAACCTGGAGACTAAATTATTTTCGTTCTAATCAAAATTAGGTTCCCAAATATTCAAAATAGAAAGCTCAGCTTCTTTTTTTTTTTTTTGAGTTGGAGTCTCACTCCGTTACCCAGGCTAGAGTGCAGTGGCAAGTTCACGGCCACCCCAGCGTCGACCTGTTGGGCTCCGGAGATTCTTCCACCTCAGCCTTCCAAGAAGACGGAATTACAGGCACGCGATACCATGACCAGCTAATTTTTTATTTATTGTAGAGATGAGGTCTCGCCAAGTTGCCCAGGTCGATCTCGACCCCACGGGCTCAGGCAATCCACTCTCCTTGGCCTCCCAAAGTGCTGGGATTACAGGCTGAGCCACCGAGATGAGCCAAAAGCTTACCTTTTGAAACAGATTGTAAATTTAAAATTTTCATTTTTGCCATCTTCTCTCCCTAAACCTTTCCTCTGCGCTCTCTTTTCCCTTAAAAAGGTAACCCAGGCTAGGCGTGGTGACTCATGCCTATAATCCCAACACTTTGGGAGGCTAAGGTGAGAGGATTGCCTGAGCCCATGGGTTCGAGACCAGCCTGGGCAATTTGGCGAGACCTCATCTCTACAATAAATCAAAAAATTAGCCGGGTATAGTGGTATGTGCCTGTAGTTCCAGCTACTTGGAAGGCTGAGGGGAAGGATCACCTGAGCCCAGCAGGTCGAGGCTGTTGTGGCTGTGAGCGTGCCACTGCACTCCATCCTGGAAGACACAGTGAGACTCCAACTCAAAAAAAAAAAAAAACAGACGGTAACCCAGTGGCAGCTTCAGATCTGTCTTCTACTATCATTCAAATACTTTCTAAAAAGAGTGCTATCATAATCCTTAATTCATAGAAAATAACCTATGTAGAGGATCTGATACTTGACCTACCTCTTAACAGAATTCTAATTCCAGAGTTTCAATGACTTAACTCCAAAATGATTTAACAAAACAAATGCAGGTAATGTATGTAAGAATATGCACAATGTCAATTCAAAATGCAAAAGTTGTTGTGTAAAATACATAAGCAAGTTAAAACTACAGTGACTGCTGCACCACCCAGACTCAACTGACTGATACTCTCAAGCAAACCTAACACTTGTAGCTTAGAGGAGCATACCACTACATGTTGTCAAGGCAACACGTGTCTAGTAAACCATTCTTACAATTATGTGACCAAATTTTTTTTTAGGGGGGGTCAGGCATGGTGGCTCACACTTGTAATCCCAGTGCTTTGGGAGGCTGAGGCAGGAGGATAGTTTAAGCCAGGAGTTCAAGACCAGTCTAGGAAATATAGCAAGACCCTATTTCTACAAAAAAATTTAAAAATTAGTCAGGCATGGTGGCATGCACATGTAATCCCAGCTACTAGGGAGGCTAAGGCAGAGGATTCCTTGAGCTCAGGAGTTTAAGGCAGCAGTAAGCTATAATTGCACCACTGCATTCCAGCCTGGGCAATAGAGTGAGATCCTGCCTCAAAAAAATAAAACAAACAAAAAAGAGACAAGGTTTCTCTTTGTCACCCAGGTTCAAGTGCAGTGGCACAATCACAGCTTACTACAGCCTCAAACTCCTGGGCTCAAGCAATCCTCCCACCTCAGCCTTGAGTGGCTGGAACTCAAGGTGCCTGCCATCACACCCAGCTGATGTGATATAATTTTTAAAATGGAAGATCAGGCCAGGCACGGTGGCTCACACTAGTAATCCCAGCACACTGGGAGGTCAAAGAGGGAGGAATGCTTAAACCCAAGAGCTTGAGACCAGCATAGGAAACATAGCAAGCCCTCATCTCTACAAAAAAAAAAAAATTAAAAAGTAAGTCAGGTGTGATAGTGTGTGCCTGTAGTCCCAGCTACTCAGAAGACTGAGAAGGAAGGATTACCTGAGCCGGGGAGGTCCAGGCTGCAGTAAGCCTTGATGAGGCCACTGTACTCCTGACTGGGACACAGAATGAGATCCTGAGTCAATCAATCAATCAGTCAATGAAAATCAGCTTTAAACATTCTGTTAAGGCCAGGCACAGTGGCTCAGTCTATAATTCCAGCACTTTGGGAGGCCAAGGCGAAAGGATTGCCAGAGCCCCCCATCTAAAACCAGCCTGGACAAGTTGGTGAGACCTCGTCTCTGCAATAAATCCCAAAAACTAGTTGAGCATGTTGGCATGAGTCTGTAATTCCAGCTACTTGGAAGACTGAGGCGGAAGGATCACCTGAGCACAGCAGGTTGAGGCTGCAGTGGCCATGAGCAAGCCACTGCACTTCAGCCTGGGTGACAAGAGTGAGACTCCAACTCAAAAAACAAAAACAAAAAAAACTTCTGTTAAAATAATTGTGTTGTTTTGTTATTTCTGGTATTAATAAGAACATTAATTCTTCTCTTTTACTATATAAAAAAAGGGTCTACTTTAATTTTAACTTCTTAGGCAACTCTATTTCCCTCAAATGTAGATAAAGCTTATTATTATACTCCATTTTGGAAGGTCAAACTTAGGAAAAGATGATAGAGAAACTATTTGTTTCAAATGCACAACTGTAATTATTATTATTTTGAGTTGGAGTCTCACTCTGTCGCTCAGACTGGAGTGCAGTGGCATGCTCACGGCCACTCCAGCATCGACCTGATGGGCTCCAGCAATCCTTTTGCCTCAGCCTCCCAAGTAGCCAGAACTACAGGCACATGCTACCACGTCCGGCTAATTTTTTGATTTACTGTAGAGACGAGGTCTCATTGTGTTGCCCAGGCTGGTCTCGAACCCACAGGCTCAGGAATCCTCTCACCTCAGCCTCCCAAAGTGCTGGGATTACAGGCTTGAGCCTATTATTGGTACCTCTGTAATACAGTGATTAATTTGTAGTAAACTGCTTTCTGTTATGGGGCAAGAAGAAGTAACCCAAAACATTATAAAGCATTCACTAAGGGGTTAGAATTTTTCCACACACTCAGATGGAGAAGAGATATGAGCAAGGAACAGGAAAGGGTAACTCCTCAACACACTGCTGAAGCACAACCAAGGCAAGCAAGCTCCCAATTCATCTCTGGTAGTCTCAATCATAATAATCAGAGACTCTATCCATTTGAAGAAATACTTCAAAATTGAAGTTATAGGAAGATCTCTGGGACGTACATGCTACATTGTTGTACAACTTCATTTTTCTCAAACTGTTCATTTAAAGAGACAAAAACGGGCATTTACTATGCTGAGCAATATCAAGTTCTCTGATCAAATCATAACTTCAACCATGATTCCAATAGTCAACTTACCATGAAAATCTGCACCCAACTTCTTAGAAGCCATTTAGAACCTGAAAAACAAGGAAATATTTCTTAGACACACGATGCCTTGAGGGGATAGAAACAAATAATTATAAGAAAATTGAGAGTACAAAAAAAACCCAGAAGACCACAGTTTCCAGAACTAACATAGTTCTCACTTCTTACTCCCCGAAGTTCCAAAAAGGAAGGCAGAATGAGGAAGAAATTAGGTTGTTTTAATTTTGTTTTGGGGACAGGGTCTCACTATTACTACACTGCCCAAATTAGCCTCGAAATCCTGGGCTCAAGAGATCCTCCTGTCTCAGTCTCTCCAGTAGCTGGGACTACAGACATGCCCCACTGCACTCAGCTAAGAAGCTAGTTATTTTTAAAGAAAAATTAAATATTTCTGAAATCTGCATGTTATGAAAAAAGTAGTAGAGGAACAGCATACTAGTCACTGACCAATTTATAGGCTATCTACCAAAAGGAAAAAGTTACTGAGCACATATCCTCCTGATATAAACTACAGATATGTCAATATTAGGGTAAGAAAAAGATCTCACTTTATTCAGTTAAGCAAATATAGATCTTTTATTGGCAATTAACTCTAACTGTTAAGGCTGGAATTTCTGAAATGAGGAATGAACATATCATTTTTGTACCATTTAAATTCTGTATAAAATTCCAAAAACAGTAAGCACAAAGTCCTTTCTTGCACATATAAAATAATCCCAGTTCTTCAACCTAAAAGCTTATCTCCCTTGATAAAATGGTATACCTTTGGTTTACTTTAAAACATAAGCAGGAAAAAATTAAGTTTAACTACATGAATTCATGGTATGGTGTTAGGATACATTACAGTACACTCAACTGCAAATGAAAATCATACTGAAAACGTTTTCTTCTCAAGTAAAAAAACACAAAGCAAGTACAATGCAACAATCTTATGAAAGTCATCCAAAGCAATTAAAATCCACACAGGACTTTTTTTGGTAATAAGTGACATGGAAAGACAAAGGAAACAGAAAATCCAAAACAATTTGGAAAAGAACAAAGCTGGAGAACTTACCACTTAATTTCAACACCAGTAATTATGCTACAGTAAGTAAGACAGTGTGGCAATGGCATAGGGATATCATATAGATTAATGGAACAGAATCCAGAAATGGCCATACACATACAGCCAACTGATTTTCTTTTTTCTTTTTTTTTTGAGTTGAAGTCTTACTATCACCCAGGCTGGAGTGCAGTGGCATGCTCACGGCCACAGCAGCTTCAACATCCTGGGCTCAGGCAATCCTTTCACCTCAGCTTTCGAAGTAGCTGGAACTACAGGCATGCACCACCAGGCCCGGCTAATTTTTTTTATTTATTGTAGAGATGAGGTCTCGCCAAGTTGCCCAGGCTGCTCTCGAAGCCCTGGGCTCAGACAGTCCTTCACTCCCAAAGTGCTAGGATTCACCAGTAGTACTCGCCTCCAACTTATAAAGTGCTGGAATTACAGGTGTGAGCCACCGCACCAGGCTGCCAATTGATTTTCAACAAAGAAAAAAGGCAATTCAATGAGGTAAGGACAGCACTGTCAACAAATAGTGCCAAACATTCATATGCAACAAAAGCAAACTTCAATCCATATCTTGCACCATAAAAATTAACTCGGGGATAGTAGGTTATCAATAAGGAGTACATAGCTTCTTTTCGGAGTGATGAAAATGTTCTAAAAGTTAATATGGTGATGATTGCACAACTCTGGGTACACTAAAAGCCACTACTGTACACTTTAAATGGGTGAAGTATACAATATGTGAAATATAGCTCAATAAAGCTGTTTTTAAAAACTCAAATGAGATCACTGACCTAAATATAAAAACAACCAAAAAAAGTTATAAGCCAGGCTCGGTGGCTCAGCCTGTAATCCCGCGCCTTGGGAGGCTGAAGTGAGTGGACTGCCTGAGCCTGCGGGTTCAAGACCCGCCTGGGCAACTTGGTGAGACCTCATCTCTACAATAAATAAAAAAATTACCCGGGCATGGTAGCACACACCTGTAGTTCCAGCTACTTGGAAGGCTGAGGCAGAAGGATCGGCGGAGCCCAGCAGGTCGAGGCTGCAGTGGCCAGGAGCGGCTACTGCACTCCAGTCTGGGTGACGGAGTGAGATGCCAACTCAAAAAAAAAAAAAAAAAGCTATAAAACTTTTAGAAAACATCAGAGGAAATTTTTGTAATCTCAAGTTAGGCAATATTTCTTAAGCAAAAGCATGACCCATATACCAAAAAAATGACAGGTTATATTCTTCAACAAAATCAAAAATTTCTGCTCTTCAAAAGACACTGGTAAGAACATAGACAAGCCACAGACTAAGAGAAAATATTTGCAAAACCCATATCTGACACTTCATAAGAAAAGATATCCATATGGTAAAGATCCACATGAAAAGATACTCAATATCAGTAGTCATTAGGAAAATGGAAATTAAAACCTTAAGGAGATACTACCATAATACTTATGCAAATGGCCAAAATAATAAAAAATGACAATACTAAGTGCTGATGATGACGTAAGACTCACACATTGCTGGTGGGAAAGCAAAATGGAAAATAGTTTTGCAGTTGCTTATAAAGTTAAACATTTACTTCCAATGCAATCCCACTCCTGGGAATTTATCCAAGTGAAATGATAACCTATGGACAAATACTTGTAGCTGCTTTATTTGTATTTGCCAAAAACTGCAAACAAGTCAAATGGCCTAACCAGTGAATGAATAAACTGTGAAATACTCATACAACAGATACCACTACTTAATAACAGAAACAGATACAGCATGACAAGGATGAATTTCAAATGCATCAAGAAAAAAACCAGAATCAAAAGGTTACAGACACTGTAATTCCATTTATGGTATGCTGGAATAGGTAAAACTACAGGGACAGAAAACTAATCTAGCTACCAGGAACTGACAGTGGTAGGAGGAGTTAACTACAAGAGATCATGGGCATCTTCTGAGGTGACAGAACTGCTCTATATTTTATTGTACTACTGGTTACATACGTTACATGACTATATGCATTTGCCACAGCTCATAGTACTAAAAACTACAAGAATAAATTTTTCCATACGTAAACTATACTTCAATTATTTGTTTAGAGACAGGTCTTGCTATGTTGCCCAGGCTGGCCTTGAACTCCTGGGTTCAAGCAATCCTCCTGCCTCAGCCTCCGAGAAGCATTGACTATAGATACACACACGGCTGCACCTGGCTGTTTCTTTTTTTAGGTACATATACTCTCAAAAAAGTGTATATATACTCACCAAACTGAAATTAGATAAAACAGAAGCATTTAATAACACTAATGATATTTTAACCTATTCTAGTGGAATGAAATTTCATTTTGGAAATGCCAAAATTCTAAATAACTAAACAAATAACATAGCTGTACCAAAGTCTATTAATATGCTTTCTGTCTAATGAAAAGAGACTTTTTGCAGGGTTGTAAGGTTTCCAACAATAAATTTCTCTCCCCAATATTAAAAAAAAAAAAAAAAGCCAGCCAGTGTGGAGGCTAATGCCTGTAATCCCACCACTTTGGGAGGCCAAGGAGGGAGGACCGCTTAAGCCCAGGAGTTCGAGACCAGTTGGGCAATATAGTGAGACCTTGTCTCTACAAGAAATAAAAAAATTAGCCACTCACAGTGGCACCCACCTGTAGTTCCACCTATTCAGGAGGCTGAGGCTGGACAATTGCTTGAGCCCATGTGTTCAAGGATACCATGAGCTAGGATGCACTACTGCACACTAGCCTAGACAAGAGATTAAGAGCCTGTCTTAAAAAAAAAATGTTATGGACAACCCCTTCGGGTTCTCTCCCGCTGTGGGAGCTTTTCTGTCCTCTCAATAGATCCTGCTTTTAAAAAAAAATTATACCAAAATAATACTATTTTATTTATTTATTTATTTATTTTTTGAATTGGAGTCTCACTCTGTCACCCAGACTGGAGTGCAGTGGCCGCTCC